CTATTTTAGTATTTTTATTCTTAACTATTTTAGACCCTATTATATTTACTGTTTTTCTGTTATATAGATATGTACATGTGGAGGAATGTATTGTTGATATTGTTAGATGTTTTGACTGTGTCTGGCCTAAGGGTTGTAAAAAGCTTGATTGATTGATTGATTGATTGTCATAATGATTAATTTTTGCACAATATCCTTACTAGTGCTTTCCATCACTTTGGATTATAAAGCCAAAGGCGTTATTTTTAGCGTATAGGGCACTACTAGATGGTGCCTATTGACCTTCAAAGCAATAATCATCATTACAGAAATTTATGATCTGGCCAAATCTTGCAAGTTTTTTACATGAGATCTTTGTAAATAAAATATAATACAATATACATATATATAAATATATACATACATATATTGTTTCCACAACATGTATAATCCATAATTAATACTGGGATTCTGGCCCTATTTATTGATGCTGGGTGTATGAGAAGACAGGGGACTTAAGCACACGTAACTGTACTTAACAGTTGCTAAAATTAATTCAACACAAAAAAGAGGTGGCTATTGTAACTCAACTCCAAATGAGATAGTAGCATTTGTAAACAGACAAGAATAACACAGAATTAAACTCAACACAAAAACCTGAAGCAGTTGACTTTCAAATCCAAGGACTAATAAACAATTCAGTTTAAAGCATGGGGGTAAGATTTCTGTCCAGGAGAAGTTGCATTATAAAATATAGATTTCAATACCAAGTAACAAAAAGAAAAGTATATGTGACAAGTATGAATTATTCAGTTTGAATACAGTTAAATAATTTCTCTTATTTTGATTCATTTATTCTGAACGTTTAATTTTATAATTTAAACATAGTCCTTATAAATAACAGATAAATTCAGAATTGTATCATTGATAAACTCAACATATTCTCTACTAATATTAATTGTTTGAATAGTCCATTTAAAAGGAAAAAGATATAATTTGAAAAAAGAGAAAACACATAAGTTTACAAGAGACTCATATAAAAATGTAGTGAATCTGCTGGAATGCAAATACCTTGATCAAAAATGTGTGGCCTTAGACAGACAGAAAACAAATGGGGTAGGCATATATGTAAAAAAATTACCATGGTCCTTAAAAAAAACAAATTAAAGATGCAAAAGGAAGATTTATAATATTACATTTTCAGACTGAATTTAGAAAGGTAACAGTTGCCTCAGTTTATGTGCCAAATGACAATAAAACATTTTATTATTTTTTTCAATCTCTTCATGAAATTGCATAGGGAGATATCTCAGTACACATGAATGGAGTTTTATTCCCTCTCCTGGAGAAGTCAATTTCATCAAGTCAAGACAAACTTCCCTCATTTTTTTTTTTTTTTAGATTATATGACATTTTCTCTCTTGGACTCTGCAGAGTATGATAGTAAGAATATCATACTATTCTTCAGCTCATAAAACTTATTTTAGGATAGTCATGTGTTGGATTACTAATTCATTGTTGATCAATCTTAATTACATGGAGGTGGTAGTTTCAACATACACAGATCACAACAATCTCATAATTGTAAGACTAAACACAGAAATTAGAGCCTGTTTGGTGTAGTGGTTTAAGGCACCAGGCTGGAAACCAGGAGACCATGAGTTCTAGTCCCACCTTAAGCACAAAGCTTGGGCTAGTCACTCTCTCTCAACCCTAGGAAGCAGGCAATGGCAAACCACTTCTGGAAAAAAAAATTTGCCAAGCAAACTGCAGGGACTTGTCCAGGTAGTCTCCAGGAGTCAAGATTGACTCGAAGGCACAAAAACAACAACAGGCATTCCTTAACAAATTATTACAAGAGGATATTAAATTGAAATGTCACCATGTTTCCCCTTCCCATCCTGCACAATTCTTTGGACTGCACTGTTGTGGCAATGGAGCACTTCCCCCACAACTGTGTCATTCAGATGTTGCAGACTTTCACCTCTGCAAAACTGTAGAAGCCAATTCCCCAGTCATGTCAGCTGTCCCTAGTAGGAGCCCCTCAGTCTCCATACAGTTCACTGACACAGGGTCTTTGCAGGGTAAGGAGGATGAGATGCTTACTGAATGCTAATCCTGTAAGTTTTAGTATAGTTCCAGGCCAAGGAATAAAACTATTTGTTTATTCTGTACTTGCATTTTGTACAATACCAAACCCTTAAGGTCATAAGGAGTCACATGAGACTCTCATGGGTACATAGGCTTTGTGCTCTGTGAGAGAACACTAACACAGTACTGCAAGCAAGATCAGTTAGAACTCAGTTATCAGAAAATTAAAATCAGGACATTTGCCAAAAAGCCCAAGAGCTTTTTGGAGCATAGATGGCCACAAGATTGAGCAGGTCTCCTGTTTCAAATACCTCGGAGTAGTCTTTCATTCTGCTAGTAGTAGAAAAGTCCATGGGGACTATGTTGCTGAAAATGCACAGAGGAGCTCATCTACCATCCTTAATTCCTCAAGACAAGAGGTGACCACTATATTCCTGCAGCACTCAAATTATTTGAACCAAGCCAATAGCACTTCTTTTATGGTGCCCAGCTGGGCCCCTTCTCCAATTTTCCACCATTAGAACTTGTACAACCAAATTTCTAAGATCAGCCCTTGAAGTTGCAAAATGTGTCTCTAATGCCACCCTGAGAGGCTTCATGAAAGTGGAGGCTAGAGCGTGACACATACTCAACTGTTGGCTCAGACTATCCGTTTTTTCCCTTGGCCTTGTCCCAATAACTATGAGGGATGATATTCAGTTCACATAGAAACAGGCAGTAGTAACTAAATTCTCATCCCTGGGCTCCTCTCCAGGTCTTCTACTCAGCATGGGATATGATCAGGCCAAAGCACTCATTAAACAGCATGTAGCAAACATAGTGCGCCAATTGGATCTAGCCAGGTCCCCAACCTTTATTGCCAGTGAATCCAACCGGTACTCTGCCTCCCTGATGACATACTTAACTAAACTCAATGTACCTAAACACCAGAGGGCCTTTACT